GAGCCGTGCACAAAGTAAAGCACCAAGCAACTCTAGTCGGGGTAAAGTAACCCTTTTTATAGGAGCTACCCTAGACCTTGCTACTACAAATGACACCTGGTATGTCCCATCCACAAGGGGAACTCTCAAATACACAGAAGCTCCATACCCCTTCTCTGAAGCATCACCAAAGGCATGAAGTTCTAGACCCGACAACTCTCTCCATGATATTTCTGGAAAATAGCACCGATTTATCTTCCAATATTTAAATGCAGCAATACTTTTAACCCAATTATGGAACTTATTTTGCAGCTCATTAGGTAGTACTTCATCCCAATCAAGCCCAAGTCTCCATATGTCCTGAAAGAGGATTTTAGCAAACATGACAAAGGGACTAATCAAACCAAGAGGGTCAAAAAGTTTGGCTATGAGACTAAGTACTGCTCTTTTTGTTGACACCAACTGTGTCTCTGAGTCAAAATCAAATTCCTCAAAGACAAACTGGTCTGTTAAGGATAACCACTTCATACCTAAAACCTTGGTGGATACATGTTCATTACCATGATCAATTTTGTTATTGAACTTTGTAGTCAGTAATTTACAGTTTGAATGCCATTTAGAAAGAGGAAACCCACCTAATGCCAAAATTCTCTGAGCTTCTTTAAACTTAACAGAAGCCTCTTCTGCACTGTCTGCCCCCGACAGCCAATCATCCACATAAAGGTTTTCCTTTAATTCTTCTATGACTTCAGTATTAGGAAAAGACTGTAAGTGATGTTTAATAGTTGCATTTAGCAAAAAAGGGCTACTTGTGTTGCCAAAGGGAACACGAACAAACCTCATAATTCTAATGGAGTCTTTGCATTTCCATAAAAAGCGATGCACATCTCGGTCCTTTTCCTGAACACAGATCTGTAAGAAAGCCTTGGTAATATCAGCAGTCAGTGCAACCTTCCACCTTCTGAAACGAATCAAAACTTTCACAAGATCAGGATTAAGTGAAGGACCAGACTCAAGACAATCATTTAAAGAAATGCCATTGTAACTAGCTGCAGAAGCATCAAAAACTGGCCTAATCTTAGTTGAAGCACTACTTTCTTTAACAACAGGACGATGAGGCATATAATATGTAGGCTGAGAACTTAAAACCTCATTTGAAGGGACTTCCTCAATTATTCCCTCTTCTTCATAGCCAGTAAACACCTCAGAGTATTGTTTCTTAAGTTGTGGGTCCTTATCTAACTTACGCTCTAATCCTTCTAGTCTTTTTCTAGCAAGTCCCTCATTATTTCTAAGATTCTTCTTACATTCATCTGACTTCCAGGGTAAGCCTACTTCATAACGCTCCCCATCAAACTCAACATTTCCACAAAATTGCTGTAGAACAGGGTCTGAGGTAAATGGGTTAGAAACAGTTTCCTTTTGATTTATTCCAACAGATTCTAAACTCCAAAATTCACTTAAATCAGAATCCGTTACATTCCCTATGCATAACATTTGGGTAGACTCAAATGGCTTGTCAGAAGAGTTCATCCATGAGCCAGACAAAACCCAACCAAATACAGACTTTTGAGCTACTAATCCATTACTCTGATATGGCTTTATTTCAGGGTCCATAAATCCCCAATAAGCATCCAAACCTACAAGTATATCTATACTTAGGTGGCTATTATTCTTGTAATCATCAGCAAGTTGGAAATCTGAAAAGGCATCAACCAATTTACTAGGAATACAAGGTCTAGTTAACGGAGCACAAACCTTTGGAATCTCTAATGCCATTAAATGTTTTAAACCTTGTAAACCCACTAATTTCAAATCAAAGATATTACTCTGTTTACCTGGAGGAGACTTACTACCTCCAAAAGCAGCATATGACACTGTTTCCGAGCTCACCCACTTAGGCTTAACTTTCTTCACAAGATTACTGGATACATAGGATCTATCGGAGCCAGTATCAAACAACAAGGTGGCTTCACAACAAATACCTGAATCACCATACACTTTAACTCTAGCTGTTTGTAACACACAGCTAGTTTTTGTCAACACATTACACTTGCTAAGAGCAACTCCAACATGATTCACTCGAGGACTGCAATTTTCTGAAGAAGGTTCGGCATTATCACTAACCTTCTTAACACTCATATCACCTTCCATAGCTTTATCTGTGTTTATTTCACCCTTTGCTCTACACAGAAGAGAATTATGATTTCCATTACACTTGGAACACTTGATTCGACAGCCACTGGCAATATGTCCTTTACTTAGACACTTAAAACATAAACGGGCTGTTTTAATTTTTTCTTCACGTTCCTTTAATGAGAGCTTCTGAATATCCCAGCACTTCTCAGACTTGTGTTTCTTGCTACAGAATGCGCAATAAGAAGATCCTACTTCAGACGATGTGTAAAGAGCTGATGCAGACGGCATTCTTACTCTTGATGCGCTCTTTGCGTGAAATAGAAATCTCGGAAAACATCGTCCTCCCATTGAGGCACAGTCCCTTTCATTTCCCTCATTTTCCTTTCCAGCTCGTAGTAGATATCCCGCAGACTTTTGTGGGCTGCGTGTTCCTGCAGCACTGAGCACAGAGCCCTGACGAAGTAGGTGCCGGAGCGGGGGTTGCGCAGCGCTGCGATCCCGTCCTGGCACGCGTGAATAGTCACCATGTCCCTCGTGGGCTCGACGCCGTCCGTCTGTGTTTGGAGGTCTTTTCCGCGGCAGAAATTCGTGAAGAAAATTTTCGGCTTTCCTTTCAGGTTGGGACACAGCGAGTGTGTAAAATTCCTGCGAATTTTTCGAAGGTCAAGCGTCTTCCCGTCCTGCGCCTGGAATTTGATATCCCTTTTGCCGTGGCTGAGGAACACCATGATGAGGGCATCGACTTTGGCGAGGGCCGAGTCGCTCCTGATTCGGTCTACCTCCGCCATCGTCCTCCGCGCGCTGAGGTTCTTGAGTAGGAAGACCTCGTAGCCCATGCGAATGAAAGTCTTCTGCAGGTTGTCCGAGTCCTGCTTGGCTCCGCGGCGCTCCAGCTCGTGACCTGGAACGATGTATGCTCTAAGTTGTATGTATTTATGCATGTGTGTGTGTGTGTGTGTGTGTGTGTGTGTGTGTGTGTGTGTGTGTGTGTGTGTGTGTGTGTGTGTGTGTGTGTGTGTGTGTGTGCCTGTACCGTACACACACACACACACACACACACACACACACACACACACACACACACACACACACACACACACACACACACACATATGTATGCATTTATTATGCATGTATGTGTATATACATATTTATTCCTTTATTTATGCATGCATGTATGTATGCATGTATGTACATACATTCATATAAACGCGTACAATTTTCTTCCATTTTCACTTACCTTCGAAGTCGTTGTTAAATACGTAAACATGCCCTGGTGGATCTGATGTCATGGTGTACGGTGTTTTCTGTTAGAAATAAAATAGGTAATGGTAGTATAATATGCTGTTCGTCCTTCATAGATCCGTAAAATAGTAAAATAATCGAAACATTATTATTATTATTCGTATTATTAAAGACTTACCGGTACCCCCCTTGATTGCACATTCTCCCGTTTTCTATTGATCTGAAAGAGAGAAAACGAAGATTATTATCCTTATATTCCGTTAGCTTTTTGCGTTTTTTTTTATATACTTTGTTGTATGTCTGTCGGTATTCGGATGTATGTCTGCTTTTCTGCCTGTATGTCTGCTCTCTCACTCCCTCCATCCGTATCTTTTTTTTTTCTCTCTCTCTTCCTCTCAGCTCCCCTTTCTCTCTCTCTCTCTCTCCTCCCCTCTCTCTCTCTCTCCTCCCCTTCTCTCTCTCCCCCCCCCCTCTCTCTCTCTCTACCATAATATAGATATAATATACTCACCTTTTCCCGACATATGCTGTCTAGGACGTGTCGTTCGAGATATTCCTTGTTTGAGAATCTCTTCCCACAAGAATGACATCGCATAATATTATCGTCGTATTGTACTGTAATCTTAAAAATGGAAACTTATTAGGGATAGCTATGGATGTTGATAGCAAAGAACACAAATACCGTGAAATAACATAAGCATAAAGGGCTCTCGGAACCTTTTCACCGTCATTATTACAAGTGCAAGTTATACGGTACTTATGATATTTACCTCTTCCCCTTGGTCACTGTTGTTGCTCCGTGCGTCCTTCATCTGTGGAGAGAAAATCGCAAGTTCTGATTAATATCCATAAATTTTATTTTCTATAATGAAAATGGCGGAGAGACCACCTCAGAGCTTCATGGGGTGTGAATTTGTCGGATTTTGAGTATTTTGTGAACTTGTGTGAGTTTGAGCTGTCGACAGATACCATGGACGTGGGGAGGCTACTGTCTTAATATCCTCATTAGTAGGAACCTCTTATACCTTAATGTGGTGGCAGTATTCAACATGAAGGTTGCGTTGAAAAGGCAGTGGGTATTTGTGACATCCCCTGCCCAAATGCAGAAGTCTGGTGGTGAGTAATAGCTTTAGGATTACATTGTTATCTTAACTGCTATCTAATAACTCTTCTCTGGAAGGGGAAATGAGACCAGGAATTGTACCACCCAGCAAACCAAGCAAACTACAGGCCGACGATGTACCTTTGGTCCCTGCACTAACCTTAAGAACGCATTTGACTTGATTCATTCTGGGTAATCCTCAGACAGAGACATTCCAGGAAGGGCAAATGGAGCACGCATGTGTATTAGATAGAGGAGTGGAGTGGAGATTTCTAGACTGTCTGACCAGATTGGCTTGGCAGCAGAAGTTGTAAACTGCCTTGTTAGGAATATATGGGAATCCCTGTACCTTTGCTGAAGTATCGAGTAATGTGATATCAGGGCCCTGGTATTGCTTAGTTCATGTGCCTTCGATTCATGGTTTGGAGGAGGATGCAACTGGTTCTTGTGTTGAATTATGGGGTCCATTTGGCAGAATTGTGTCTAATGAAAGGCTATGAAGTGGTCTTTTCTGGAAATAATCTTGGGTGTGTAAATTTGACTGAATTTTTATATAGATATTGGTACTTGCAAATAAAATACAAGAATTATAAACAATACCGAGGAGGCCTGTAGGATGATCTCGAAAGATATGTATGTATATGTATGTGTGTGTGTGTGTGTGTGTGTGTGTGTGTGTGTGTGTGTGTGTGTGTGTGTGTGTGTGTGTGTGTGTGTGTGTGTGCGCGCGCGCGTAAATATGTGTGTGTGTATGTGTATATGTGCTTATATATATGTATGTGTGTGTGTGTGTGTGTGTGTGTGTGTGTGTGTGTGTGTGTGTGTGTGTGAGTGAGTGTTTATGTTTATGTTTGTGTTTGTGTGTGGGTGTGGGTGCACTTCACACACACACACACACACACACACATATATATATTCAGATCATATGAAATCACACTCATGCACATAACAGATCATGAAGTGGCACACCTAACCCGAACAGAGGAGAGGAGTATCGTCATCATACAGCCTCGTATATATATTACCTCTTTATTTTTTCCTGATTTCATCCACAGCTTTCTCGCGTGTACCTGGGAAGAGGATTTGATTATTATATACTGTATGTATATATATATACATATATATATATATATATATATATATATATATATATATATATATATATATAAGACTTGATATTACATTTTGTTCTACCAAATCATATTCATCCATTTTCTAAACTTAATCTTATTGATATATCTAATAATGATTTTGTTACTATTAAATTGTTTTATCAAAACGGCTGAAACAATTCACAAGGACCACCCACATACACGTACACACACCTATCCACACATACACTCACACTCACCCCCCCCCCCCCCCCACACAAAATTTTAAAGCCCCATTATTACGTACTATTGTTTTCACTACCACTACTACTACTACTACTGCTAATACTACTGCTGTTTTCATAATCATAACTACTATACTTCTTACCTCTGCCAAGTGTGTCTTTGTTGTAAGATGTCCTCTCAATGATACCTTCTTCAGCTTTCTTTTGCAAACACACTGATATTCCTCGTGCTCAATCTCTACAAAGATGTTTTTCTCAAGGGCAGTTTGTACGGTAAACTGTAAAAAATGTGGAGAAGACAGAACACATTAATAAAGCTTATTTCCATTAATTTACTACTACTATAAAGCTCCACTTTATGTTTATGTTCATCAGTTTTAGATTCCAATTGTTTCTCAACCTTTTAAGATGTCCTCTGTGCCTGCTTTCTTGAATTCCTCTTTGTTTTTCTTTCTTTTCTTTTCTCTCAACGTGTCCTGTGAATACTCATTCTTCAATCGAGTTCCTTACTCCTTACCATTTACGAATATTTCTTCCTCTTACAGTGTCTTGCAGGATTCATCTAAGTCTCTTATTCCTTACGTCTCCCAAGTGCCTCTTCCTCTTAAGGTGGGAATTTGAGACTCCTTAATCATTAATCTAAGTTTCTTATTCCTTACCTCTTCCAAGTGTTTCTTCCTCTTAGGGTGCAGTTTGAGACTACTTTAATTAAGTTATCATCTAAATTTCTTGTTTCTTACCTCTTTCAAGTGTTTCTTCCTCTTAGGGTGCAGTTTGAGACTACTTTAATTAAGTTATCATCTAAATTTCTTGTTTCTTACCTCTTTCAAGTGTTTCTTCCCCTTAAGGTGTCCTGTGAGACTAGCTTTCTTGAGTGTCTCGCCGCACGCGCACTGGTACCGGCTGTCACTTTGCTCCACTAGCATTCCCTTCTCCAGAGCAGTTTGTACGTCCTGTTGATGAATGTGAGTTTGGGTGAAACGCGGACTTATGAAGATCGAGATGTTAATGCTGATTGATAGAGAGGTGGATAGAGAGGGAGAGAGGAGAGGGGAAAGGAAAAGCGGGAGAAGAGAGAAAGGAAGAGAGGGATAGGGAGAAGATGGTTTGAGAAAGAATAGGATTAAAGGAAAGGAAAGGGGAAACGAGAAACAAAGGAGAATGATTGAAAGACCATTTCGTTCAGGTCTCACTTTATCTTAAGATCTTGTTTTTTTTTCTTTACAGTATAATCTCTCTCTCTCTCTCTCTCTCTCTCGTACTCTATATCACAAATTTATCTTTTGTGAAAAGAAGAAAAGCAAAATAATCTTCGTACAGTAACACACACTTACCATTGTTGCCATCTTGCAGCTTCTAGTGTATGATCACGATTCCTTTTTGAAGTAGGCACAGGAAATCTGCAGTGAGTTGCCAGTTGTTAGTTTATTTTAATTATTATTATTATTTTTTTTTTATTAAGCTGTAAGTTCGTTATCCAAATGGAATAACAATGATATGATGTATCTGTAAAATATTCTTGCTCGTGTGAAAAAAAAAAAAAAAAATAGAAGTGAGCTGCAACTACCGTCTAGTTGAATATTAGTTTTTATATATTATTAGTGTCATGGGCGCTGTCCCTTCTAAAAGCACTGACTCATTTTCAACGCGTGCGGGACGGGAATATTGTACTTCAGGAGGACTAATCTATTTTTTTCTG